CTACCTACCTACTTACCCGTCGGGGTAACTACCTACTTACCCGGGTACCTACCTACCTACTGGGTACCTACCTACCTACTTACCCGTCCGGGTACCTACCTACCCATCCGGGTACCTACCTACCTACTTACCCGTCCGGGTACCTACCTACCTACCTACTTACCTACGAGTTCGGGTAGCTACCTACCCATCCGGGTACCTACCTACCTACTTATCCATCCGGGTACCTACCTACCCATCTGGGTACCTACCTACCTACTTACCCGTCGGGGTAACTACCTACTTACCCGTTCGGGTACCTACCTACCTACTTATCCATCCGGGTACCTACCTACCCATCCGGGTACCTACCTACCTACTTACCTGTCCGGGTACCTACCTACCTACTTACCTGTCCGGGTACCTACCTACTTACCCGTCCCGGTACCTACCTACTTACCCGTCCAGGTACCTACCTACTTACCCGTCCGGGCACCTACCTACTTACCCGTCCGGATACCTACCTACCTACTTACCTGTCCGGGAACTTACCTACCTATCTGTCATGGTACCTACCTACTTACCCGTTCGGGTACCTACCTACCTACTTACCCATCTGGGTACCTACCTACCCATCTGGGTACCAACCTACCTACTTACCTGTCCGGGTACCTACCTACCTACTTACCTGTCCGGGTACCTACCTACCTACTTACCTGTCCGGATACCTACCTACCTACTTACCTGTCCGGGTACCTACCTACCCATCCGGGTACCTACCTACCCGTCTGGGTACCTACCTACCTGTCCGGGTACCTACCTACCCATCCGGGTACCTACCTACCCATCCGGGTACCTACCTACCTACTTACCCATCTGGGTACCTACCTACCCATCCGGGTACCTACCTACCTACTTACCCGTCCGGGTACCTACCTTCCCATCCGGGTACCTACCTACCTACTTACCCGTCCGGGTACCTACCTACCCATCCGGGTACCTACCTACCTACTTACCAGTCCGGGTAGCTACCTACCCATCCGGGTACCTACCTACCTACTTATCCATCCGGGTACCTACCTACCCATCCAGGTACCTACCTACCTACTTACCCGTCGGGGTACCTACCTACTTACCCGTTCGGGTACCTACCTACTTACCCATCTGGGTACCTACCTACCCATCTGGGTACCTACCTACCTACTTACCTGTCCGGGTACCTACCTACCTACTTACCTGTCCGGGTACCTACCTACCTACTTACCTGTCCGGATACCTACCTACCTACTTACCTGTCCGGGTACCTACCTACTTACCCGTCCGAGAACTTGCCTACCTGTCCGGGTACCTACCTACCCATCCGGGTACCTACCTACCTGCTTACCCGTCCGGGTACCTACCTACCTACTTACCCGTCCGGGTACCTACCTACCTGGCCGGGTACCTACCTACCCATCCGAGTACCTACCTACCCATCCGGGTACCTACTTACCCGTCCGGGTACCTACTTACCCGTCCGGGTACCTACCTACCCGTCTGGGTACCTACCTACCTCTCCGGGTACCTACCTACCCATCCGGGTACCTACCTACCTACTTACCCATCCGGGTACCTACCTACCTACTTACCCGTCCGGGTACCTACCTACTTACCCGTCCGGGTACCTACCTACTTACCCGTCCGGGTACCTACCTACCTACTTACCCGTCCGGGTACCTACCTACCCATCCGGGTACCTACCTACCTACTTACCTGTCCGGGTACCTACCTACTTACCTGTCCGGGTACCTACCTACTTACCCGTCCGGGCACCTACCTACTTACCCGTCCGGGTACCTACCTACTTACCCGTCCAGGTACCTACCTACTTACCCGTCCGGGAACTTACCTACCTACCTGTCAGGGTACCTACCTACCCATCCGGGTACCTACCTACCTACTTACCCGTCCGGGTACCTACCTACCCATCCGGGTACCTACCTACCTGGCCGGGTACCTACCTACCTGGCCGGGTACCTACCTACCCATCCGGGTACCTACTTACCCGTCCGGGTACCTACCTACCCGTCCGGGTACCTACCTACCTGTCCAGGTACCTACCTACCCATCCGGGTACCTACCTACCTACTTACCCGTCCCGGTACCTACCTACTTACCCGTCCGGGTACGTACCTACTTACCCGTCCGGGTACGTACCTACTTACCCGTCCGGGTACCTTCCTACCTACTTACCCGTCCGGGAACGTACCTACCTGTCCGGGTACCTACCTGCCTACTTACCCGCCCGGGTACCTACCTACCCATCCGGGTACCTACCTACCCATCCGGGTACCTACCTACCCATCCGGGTACCTACTTACCCGTCCGGGTACCTACCTACCCGTCCGGGTACCTACCTATCCGTCCGGGTACCTACCTACTTACCCGTCCGGGTACCTACCTACCTACTTACCCGTCCGGTTACCTACCTACCTACTTACCCGTCCGGGTACCTATTTACCTACCTACTTACCCATCCGGGTACCTACCTACTTACTCATGCGGGTACCTATTTACCTACCTACCCGTTCAGATGAAAATTAGTTAACCGTCTAGTGTACTTCTACTTGTTCAAATAGGTACATTTTAATCTACAATATTCAAATAGGTACTTTACTACCTGTCCTTATGAAAATTTCTGTCTTCCACTTTTATTGGACTTCGATTATTGTAAATTCGTGCAAACTACCTATCCAAATAGGTATTTTTTTACCTATTCAAATAGGTATTCTTTTTTACCTATTCAAATAGGTATTTTTTTTACTTATTCAAATAGGTTCTTTTTTGGTCCTGAAAATTACTTTTCCACTCCTGTTGGACTCGAATTATTTCAAATTCATACAACTACCTATTCAAATAGGTACTTTTTTGTCATGAAAATTACTCTTCCACATCCGTTGGATTTTCATTATTACAAATTCGTGGACCTATTCAAATAGGTATTTCCTACCTATTTAGATAGGTACTACCTATTCAAATAGGTATTTTCTACCTATTCAAATAGGTACTTTTTTGGGTCCTGAAATTTACTATTCCTCATCTGTTGGACTAATTTCAAATTCGTACAACTACCTATTCAAATAGGTATTACCTATTCAAATAGGTTTTACCTATTCAAATAGGTACTACCTATTCAAATAGGTACTACCTATTCAAATAGGTACTACCTATTCAAATAGGTACTACCTATTCAAATAGGTACTTTCTACCTATTCAAATAGGTATTTTCTACCTTTTCAAATAGGTACTTTTTTTTTATCCTGAAAATTACCATTTCACATCTGTTGGACTCTTAATTATTTCAAATTCGTACAATTACCTATTCAAATAGGTATTACCTATTCAAATAGGTACTACCTATTCAAATAGGTATTTTCTACCTATTCAAATAGGTACTTTTTTTTTTATCCTGAAAATTACCATTTCACATCTGTTGGACTCTTAATTATTTCAAATTCGTACAATTACCTATTCAAATAGGTACTACCTATTCAAATAGGTAATACCTATTCAAATAGGTATTTTCTACCTATTCAAATAGGTACTTTTTTTTTTTATCCTGAAAATTACTATTTCACATCTGTTGGACTTAATTATTTCAAATTTGTACAATTACCTATTCAAATAGGTACTACCTATTCAAATAGGTACTACCTATTCAAATAGGTATTTTCTACCTATTCAAATAGGTACTTTTTTCGGATCCTGAAAATTACTATTTCACATCTGTTGGACTCTTAATTATTTCAAATTCGTACAACTACCTATTCAAATAGGTACTACCTATTCAAATAGGTACTACCTATTCAAATAGGTACTACCTATTAAAATAGGTACTACCTATTCAAATAGGTACTGTTCTACCCAGCCTTATGAAATCTAGTTACCATCTTTTACATGTGGGAATTTAAAACAAATTTGTTAATGTAGTTATATTTATTATCACCAGGAAAATTTCCATGGGTAACACGGTGAGGGTCAAGGAAAGAGGAAAAATCACACACACACACACCTGAAACTTTACTCAAGTTTACTGTAGTACAAGCCAAGCATTACTTGCTGGTGCCAAATGCTTGTAGTATTTGAGTGTCTTATACTCGTCCTGTGGGGGGAAGTGTACAAATTCAGCACAATATTACGAAAAGCCACATTCTGGAGAGTCCATGGGACCCACCCTTCTACATTCAGCAACTTCGGTTTCATCATTTTGGGCCTGACAGGTTCAAGGCTAGAGGATTGGAGGAGGATGGCGAAACTAATGAGTGAACCGTGTCACAACCGAGCTGTTAGTCTGTTTTGGGGCACCGTGGCCCCATTTTCTATGCTTAGAATCTGCAATGTAAACATGTTTTGGTACTCCCACCTTTCTGTTGGTCTTTTCTTTGTTAGAGTAATGAAGGATCCCTAATCCTTACAACTCTTTAGAGGGGAGACTGGATTTTGACCTCTGGTCTCCAGTAGGATTACATTAACTCTCAAGTGTCTAGTGTCGATTGAAATTGAAAGCTTTCCAAGTAGCAGCACCAAGGCGCCATCATAGCCCCCCTCCTAGAAAGATTACTTAGAAGCCCCATAATTTAATTATAATTGCTGGTTACATAACCATTGTTTACACTTCAACTACTATATATAACATTACACATTGTAATCAAGTAACTTTAGTAACACTGCAGAAATTTCAACATTGAACATTACACCGTAAAGTGATTACCAAAATGGTTACCAATCCAGTTAACTATTATTACAGGTTAAAAGAAATACAGGTACAGTACTTTTAATTACATGTACATAAAGTGAAATGGTTGGCTCTGATCTTAAACAATGCATCTTTTAATTTCATTACATGTACCAAGAATTCCCTTTACTAGTAGAGCAAGATGTGGATCCTCATACAAGCTGAACTGCCAGTGATACTTTTAGCCTAAATGTTTATGTATAAATATCATTAAGATTTGGTATCTAACACGCATCATTTCTTTCAGACACTGAACACAATTTCTGCCGAGAAAAATTCGACTATCATCTTCCCCTTGCCGATTGACTTCTTACGTCACTTCATGGGCAACGACAAGGAGTGACCGACTATCAACACTCACCAGCCGTTTCCTCAATGCCTCTTTCTGAAACAAAAAAGTTTTTATACACTTAAAATAAAGCTCATAGACTGTTGCCTATTAGTAGTGAGGTAGGGGATAGTTCATTATATGGAGAATAACTACAACTTTGTTTTTTGTGGGATATTCTGGTGGTTTTATCTATATGGCTAATGTTATGAGGAAATTGACTAGTTTATGCACTGGGATGTTGGCCAAAATTTCTACTGAGCCCCATAGATTGTTTTACTTTTATTCCACATACAAACTTGAATTTCAGACTATTGACTTTCCAGTACTTTCAATAGTGCATATATTAATATTAAAGTTTTGCCATTTCATGTAAATCATCATTAAGTTCCTATGAACACTTTCTATAAAATTAGAATCCTATGGGATGTTTAGCACACCTAGTTACAAAATGTTGATAGTGAACAAAAAAATTTTGAACCTTGGGAGAAACTTCATTTGAGAGTGAACAGTAATTGTTTTTGTTTACTTCAATATAATTTATGTAACATTTATACAGTATTTCATTCCTTTTAACAATTCTAACATAATAAAACTATGCTGCTTTTAACTCTGACAGGATGTATGTCATCAGTCTAGACCTGTCAATATATATATATTATATTATATATATTATATATTATATATATTATATTATACTATATATATATATATATATATATATATATATATATATATATATATATATATATATATATATATGCCAAAGAAACAAGACCTGCACCTTCCTTGCATCTTTATATTCAAATAAGAACAGATTTAAATTACACATTTTCAAAGATAAGTAAAATAAGAAAACCTCATCCAGTCAGTCAAATATACATATCACAACCTTCCTGAACAAATAAATATCCCTATTGTTCTGGGATATAATAGTACAAACAAAATTTCTATATATTTTCTCTCTCAAAAAACAGCCGCTTTATTTGGTAAAAAGTCAATTCAAAGTTTTTGTGCAACTTTCCACTTTGTTATTCATACAAAGATAATGCATTAAAAACAGTTTAAATAGTAAATTACTTTTTAAATGGCAAAATAACACCTTTGGTCTTTTAAAATTGAAATATGAATATATTCTTTATCTGGGAACCATTATATGCTATATGTTATCCTTCTCAATTTCTCACAAGATAATAGTAAAGATCTAGTCTCTTGAAAAATCAATAAAAATTAATGTGCAACTTTTCCATGTTTCACATTAATCCACAATCTAGCTGCCATACAAATTGTCAATGAAAACCGTTAAGTGTTGAGGTCTGATGTCTGCTGAATGTTCCAATGACATTAAACTGCGACATCCGATTTATAAATTTACAGTTATAACCCAACACATAACTTGGAAAACATAAAATGATTGTAAATACTTTTAGAATTGCTGTGCGGTGTACAAGAAGCCAGGGAGCTCAGAACGTTTATGGTTAGATGCTCACAGGGAGGCTAAACTGCCAATGAGTAAAGACTGATTTAAATACATCTTCAGTGTGAAACACACTTAAAAAAAAACTGTGGCAAAAAAATTAACTAGTTACAAAAAATTAACATCGTATCAGCTTTCAACCAACAGAATTACCCGCTGTAAGATAATTCTTATTAAAATGTTTGCCAATTATGGTCTAAATATTATTTCTGCAAACAATGCAGTTTACTACACAACAGTGTGCTGTTGTGGTATTCTTTAGTCATTTCTGGTAAAATAACAGTACAGTATTGTATATGCTTACCATGACTTACAGCCCCTACTCTGGATAACCTATGCTGGGGAACCAATGGCACACATGCCAAAGGTAATACACAACTATTTTGTCATGCATATACGGTTATTGGTCGACTAAACAAAGTTCTTAAAGAATGCTTTCAAGCATATTGTTCGCCATTGGCACTCGAGAACTCTTTAGACAATTATTGCCAATTTACTCTTACGCTCTCAGAGGTTCCTTACTCGTGACCTATGCTAAGCTTAATCAAATCTTTCCATAACATTATCAGCAACAACCACAGTCCCTATTCCTTTAATTGATCATATTTTCACTGAGAAACATGTTACATTTTACGTTACTATGTTATCAAACAAGTCACAGTACTCTTTATGCTCATATATTATCTTACATTTCCTTGAATACAGACATCAAAAGGTAGTTCTATCTTTCGTTTATTATATTCCTCTTTTACACTTGGTTTAACAAATTTCTATTTATTTCATAGTTTACAGGATATTCGTGGTTGAGCAAAAATTTTTGAACCCGTCACACATTATCAGTGTAAATTTTTGAATTATTACCATTTCATTTGTCTTCACAGTTCCACAGTCTACCTTCATATTCACTTATCTGACAGAGGAATACCATGTCTGGTATTGTAATCATAGCCGGATATCCTGAACCATTACCTTTTTTTAAACAACTCCAGATCGTAAGGCTAACAATTTTAAATAAAATATATATACACACCACAATGATTTAAATTTAGATTTTTTGAGCAAATAAAACTGCAAGAAAATGCTGTTCCAATCTGTTCAAACTCTCTTGTGAAGTTCCTCCTTAGGTTCTCCTTTTCTCTCCATAGAATTCTGTCCAATTGTTTCCATCTAAACCAACTTTTGTAAATGTGTACATCAATAAGACTAGACGAATGCCTCATTTATATACAGTAATAAAATTAATGTATAATCCAGGTCTCCAAGTTACAGGGCTCAGCCATGGCACTGCCTAATATGGTCTTTATTCCCAAATGAAACCGGAGTTAAATATACAGAGTATATATTTTGTCGATCCTTATATAGAATAAAATCCGTTAATTTTTAACAATGAGATCACTATGTGAATCTCCTCTCTTATATAGAATAGTAATTTCATTGTACATTTTAGATTATATTAACTTGAGTAAGAATTCAAAGTTGAAGTAGTTTTGTTGTTAAAGATAACGGTGATGACAAGGAAACAGATGACAATGCCAACATGGCCACAAATGTCTTGACAGTTGCAGCTCTGCCACAAATAACTGACAATCGCATCTCAGCCACAAATGACAGACAACTGAATCTCTGCTACAAATGACAATGGCAATTCGGCCACAAATGACAATGACGACCTGGCAACAAATGACGGTGACATATTGGCCACAGAATGCTACAGCAACGTGGGTCACACAATATCTAGTTAGAGGAAAAGTCAAGTAAAGAGCCACAAATGTTTGTAATTTAAAGCAGAGGTCAAAACTATTGCTGGTTTATGCATGAGTGGCCAATCATTGTGAAATACTTTTTTTTGCAAGTGAAACAAGTAATTAAGTCACTTTTGAGAGATGTGATCAATGGTTTCCACAACATTTTCTCCTCACAACTGTAGTTGTATTTCTCATGAATTCATTAAGGAATTAGCTTTTGAGAAAGCTAATAGAGTTAAAGAGTAAAAGCTGCTCTTAACTTGAATTTCAGTGAGTATATTAATTATAAAATCATATTTCAATTTCTTTTTCTTTCAGTTCATGAACAAAAAGATGTTTTTTGCATCTTTTTGGATCTTATGTACTGAAGACATTATATGTACAGGATAGATATATATTAAAAAAAACTGTAAACCCATATATTTTTGTAATATATTCTGGGTAACAGTCGAGGAATTCTATATATACAAAATATAACATTTATTTAATTTTAGGGGGGGTACAAAATAATTTTTAGCACAATATTGTTTTGCAGAAACTTTATAGAAAGAACTTGGCACGTACCTTGGCCCTTGCAGAGTGCTTTCCAATGTCGGCATACAAGCACATGCACGTTGCATACCCAGTTTTCCATTTTCTTTCTTAAATGGGGATTATTGTCTTGTGCCATCAGCAGAAACATAGATAAGTGTACATAGATTTGCTTTGTTTCTTTTATGATGAAACACAGAAATCAGTGGTTGACATAATGATGGACACTTCTATCATTCTCTTCTGGGGACAAAGTAATCATCAAAGCTTTCTATGGTGGTATACAATGAGTTAGAAGCATGCAAAACAAAAATCAATAAAAATAATTTTCAGACACATACTGTATAATGAATATATACCCAAAAAATCCTATTTTCATAAAAAAAAATATTGATAAACAGGTATTATATAATCACGGCACTTCATCAATAAACAGTTTAAAGGGCATGTACTTTAAATTATGGACAAGATAACCACTGCACCAAATCAAAATTAAGTACTGTGTGTCACTATGTCACGGCAGTTTCCCCAAGATAACGGGTGTTTGTGTGTGTGTGTCTCTCGAGTAGGTCTCGACCACAAAGAACTTACACTGAAACATAGCTCATTAGTTTGTAAACATATTGCTAGCCAATTAGCTTAATTTTAAACTAATTTTTATAGCATCTTCAGAATATGTAATGTTCATTTATATACAAACAGATGAAGTACTGTATATTTGTATGTATGATATCTACACACGTATGCAGGAATGTATATGTGCATAAGAAATGTATTATACAGTATATAGATATAATACACACACACAAACTTGAATACGGACGCTTTTAGATTACTGTATACCGCCTATGTGAGGCCATTCTTAGAGTACACTGCGCCATTGTGGAGTCCCCATCGAAAAAAACACACAAGGAAACTATGAAAGGTGCAGAAGTTTGCAACGAGACTCGTCCCAGAGCTGCGAGGGGTAAGGTACAAAGAGAGACCGAAGGAACTACACCTCACAATGTTAGAAAGGAGGGAGAAGGAAGACATGATACAGTAATATAAAATATTCTGAAGGATTGACAGGGTGGAAACAGTAAATGTTTACAATGAATATCAATAGAAAAAGGGGGCATGGATGGATGCTTGAGACTCGGGTGTGTCATAGAGATTTTAGAAAGTTTTCTTTTAGCATAAGGGCAGTGAGTAAATTAAATGATCTAAAGGAGCAGCTTGTAGAGGCAAACTCCATTCATAACTTTAAAAACAGGTATGATAGAGAAACAGGTCAGGAGTCATTGCATTAGACAACCAATGACTAGAAAAGTAGCGTCCAAGAGCTAGAGCTCAATTGTGCAGGCACAAATGAGTGAGTACATACACACACATACACAGAAGAAAATAGAACACTATTACATTATGTGGAAAGTACTTAAAGAACTAACAAAGAGATTTATGGGAGGTTCTGGATAGTAGACTGTCACCAGAGGAACACATGAAGGACATTATGCAAGGAGCATATGCTGTGCTTTCAACTTCAGTCACTTGTAATTGTACATGGATGGTGAAATACTAAACAAACTGTTCATGACATTTGTGAGACCAAAATTGGAATATGCAGCAGTTGTATGGTGTCCAAATCTCAAAAAGCATATAATAAACTGGGAAAAGGTGCAAAGGCATGCTACAAAATGGCTTACACAACTGAAAAACAAGAGTTATGAAGAGAGATTAGAAGCAATAAGTAAGCCAAGACTAGAAGATAGAAGAAAAAAAGGTAATATGTTTACCACTTACAAAATACTAACAGGAATCGACAAAATTGATCAAAGAATTCCTGAAACCGGCAACCTCATGAACAAGAGGTCATAGATTCAAGCTAAGGAAACAAAGGTGCCAAAAAAAATATTAGAAAGTTTTCTTTTGCAAACAGTGGTAGACCATTCGAACAAGTCATGTGAGAAAGTGGTGGAGGCCAAAATTGTCAGTAGCTTCAAAGCAGTATATGACAAGAAAATAAAAATAAAAAAAAGTCCTGGGAAGACGACACCACGAGCATAGCTCTCATCATGTAACTACACTTAGGTAATCACACACACACACATATATGCACTCAAACAAGAGTATGTTTGAATTGATTGTCTTTTTGCCAACTCCCCCTACCCCCTCGCAATGCAGTGCTTCAACTAACACTTCCCACTTGCAACATCCTCCAGAATAATTCCCCTCTCCACTTTGTATCCAAATACGCAAGTAGTCTGTGTTCAGACAGTTCATAATTCAGAAACAAAATATTATACTATCAAAAGAAAAAAATTTCAACTAGGAAATTACACTGGAAGCAGAAACATGAGTAAAACATTTTGTAAATAAAGTGAAAAGTGATTAGAAAGGAAAGGAGAGGGAAATGGGGGAACCAAACAAATACTGGAACCAATACAATGGTGAACAAAACTACTGTATAGTGTAAGGAAGGGAGTCATTGAGCTTGGGAAACCATTGACCAATAGGTTACCTGGTTGATGGGGGTTCTGGGAGTTCTTCTACTCCCCAAGCCCGGCCCGAGGCCAGACTTGACTTGTGAGAGTTTGGTCCACCAGGCTGTTGCTTGGAGTGGCCTGCAGGCCCACACACCCACCACAGCCCGGTTGGTCCGGCACTCCTTGAAGGAAACAATCTAGTTTCCTCTTGAAGATGTCTTGAAGATGGGTGGATAAATGTATCGACATATGGGGATGGGGAAAATTATGTAATTATGTTGAAAGAATGAAAGGGACATACAAGGGTAATTACTGTATAGGAATCTCAAAGGAGAACTGAATTCCAATTTGAAGAGAATCTAAATAGGAGAGAACAAAAGGTAAAAGTAAGTACCTGAAGAAATAAAGAACTTAAAAGTGATGGAGTAAGAGCAGGGTGAGAGAAACTGCTAAGGAGTAAGTGCTGAGAATTGACAGAATTAGTCCATTGGAAAAGAAAGCTTCATTAAAATTTGAATAGCCTCTTCCAATAATGTTAGAAGTTGTACCAACAAGTTAAAAAAGATCAGTCTTGAAAGACTTATGGGGAAAAAGTATTGAAATAATGAAGTGTCTTGATAAAAAAATTAAAAATCCAGCGTTCAATGTAATAATAAACCTTTTTGGTGGGCCTCTTGATAGCTCCCAGGATACCTCTACATGCATCATGTACTACCAGGCCCTTGTGAGTCATAAAAGCCTACTGTAAACCAAAGAAAGATAATCAAGTCCACTCAACAGAAGCACAAGGAGTCTGGAGAACACTAGATCTACCCAGGCAAAGAGGAAATTCCATCAGAAGTAGTCTTTTCTAAAAAACTCAACTGCAAGCAAATATTAGCAACCCTCTCGACCAGGACCACAGTAATTAGCTTGTTACGTCTCCCTTGTTACTTGGGCTGGACGGTAGAGCAATGGTCTCACTTAACGCAGGTCGGCATTTAATCCCCAATAGTCCAAGTGGTTGGGCACCATTCCTAACCTCCGTCTCATCCCAAATCCTTATCCTGACCCATTCCAAGTGCTATTGTCGTATGACTTGGCGCTTTCTCCTGATAGTTCTCTCCCTGCCCACCACCAGACAGCAGCCCTGATAGCTCAGGTTCAGCTAATAATACCAGTCAGACATGTGCTGCTCAAGAACAAAAACTTAAGCCCCTGAATGGGAAAAGGTTGGGAACAGAGCTGCCGAAGGGACAACCAGAAAATGGTACAGTACTTCATTATAATCAGTGCTGGATTTCTGGGACTCCTTGGTGGCTCCCTAGAATATCAGCACTGAGAAACAACCCCCCCAGTGCCATGCAAGCCCAGTCTTGTTCAGAAACATTCAACAAATTGAGTTCTGTCAGAAACCTGTTTGAATGCCAAAACCCATATGCCCAAATTTCAGACCAAGACGTGTTAGAAAAGAAAATGGATAGGGCTGCCAACTTATGAACACCATGGGTAGATTGCAAGCTGGCTTGATACTGCATATATGACCCAAGACAAACAGAATCCTGGAACAAGGACACTGGATCAACAACTGTCATTCAGAATATCCAGAGTGGCATTCAACAGTGAACCACCACAATCAGACAGAGCAAGTCACATAACTCTCGACTGAACCAATAACCAATTCAAAACTCAGAATCAGAACCAAGAATCAATAACCAATTCAGAACTCAGCTGTCTCATCTTTGGCCAGAAAAGAGGGCTGCTGTAGGTGAAGAAACTACCCATCTGGGACACAAAAGGACAACCCTTGCTTCTGAAGAATATTTAGCACCCTAACTATACACCCAGAAGCAAGTAGCAACCCTAATAAAGCCTTAAGAAAAAAAGGGAAGAAATAGATCACAACCCTAAGTGGAACAATGAAGCAACAAGACGAGAGAAAAAAACAGGATACAATCCAGAGACCAGGAAGGCTCACTTTTTTTTTTGCAGACTAGAGGTGAGAGAACGCATGAAAGCTTGCAAAACGAGACCAATCAATTTTTGACACCTCGTCATGCCCAAACAAGAGCTTCATCATCCTATAAGAAGCATCACTATTAGGCGTAAGATGCTGATCAACAATAAGCCAAGACAAAACACAACAATGTTGAAGCAGACTCAAAAGACAAGAGAGGAAATGACAGAAAAGAATGAAATGAATGGCAAGAAGCCTCATATGGCCACCAAGAAGAAAGTTGCAAATGTGATGCCAAAAGACCTGCCAAAAAAGTAGTACATTAAAATAGTAATGTAAGTAAAACTCACTTTACTAATGCAGCCAAAAGGCAACCACCGTGAGACCTCTTGATCCAGGAAATAATTTTTTTTTTTTTTTTTTGGTTGAGTGTGTGTACTCGCCTAGTTGTGCTTGCAGGGGTAGAGCTCTGGCTCTTTGGTCCCGCCTCTCAACTGTCAATCAACTGGTGTACAGATTCCCGAGCCTATGGGCTCTAGCGTACAGTATCTACATTTGTAACTGTGTATAGAGTCTGCCTCCACCACATCACTGCCTAATGCATTCCATCTGTTAACTACTCTGACACTGAAAAAGTTCTTTCTAGTGTCCCTGTGGCTCATTTGGGTACTCAGTTTCTACTTGTGTCCCCTTGTACCCTCCACACATCCCCATATTTACCTAGTTGTTCTTGCGGGGTTGAGCTCTGCTCTTTCAGCCCGCCTATCAATTGTCAATCAATAAACTGTTACTATTTTATTTATATTTTTTTCCCCCCACACATACCCCCCCAGGAAGCAGCC